CTTGAATACCCATATGGTTCCAATGACATTCTGGTGCTTTGGCCTAGGAACAAGTTCCCATACTTTGTTCCTTTCAAATTGAGTGAGCTCTTCTTGCATAGCATTGATCCAATCTGAGTCTGCAAGAGCTTCTTCAACTGTCATAGGTTCCATCTGAGATATATAGCACGCAAGCATTGCTTCTCTTCTTGATGTGGATCTGGTTTGAACTCCACTTCTGATTTGACCAATCACTTGGTTAGGAGGATGATCTCTTAACCATGTCAGGTCTGGTTCTGTCAGCTGCTGTCTTGGTCTCTCTGGTTCCTCATCTTCAGAGTCTTCATCTTCATTCAACAGAAGGGGGTTTGGTGCAGGTGTAGGAAATGCAGGGTTGTCTGCCACCTCTTCTGTTGGTTCTGGTGTTCTGTCTTCTATGCTGACTTCCTTGAGAATCTCTGTTACCTCTTTAACAGAGGTGCTTTCATCAAACTTCACATGTATGGATTCTTCAACATGTAGGGTCCTTCTGTTGAGTACTCTATAGGCTTTACTGGTGTTTGAATAGCCTATAAAGACTCCTTCATCAGCCTTTTCTTGAAATACTTTCAGATGCTCATTTCCATTGTTAAGAATGTAGCACTTGCATCCAAATATATGAAAGTAGCTGATGTTAGGTTTTCTTCCCTTCCAGAGTTCATAAGGGGTCTTCTGGTGATTCTTGTTGATCATGTTTCTGTTCTGAGTATAGCATGCAGTGTTGATTGCTTCAGCCCAATATCTCATAGGCAATCCAGATTCTGCAATCATTGTTCTTGCAGCTTCTTTTAAAGTTCTGTTCCTTCTTTCTGCTACGCCATTCTGTTGAGGGGTTCTGGCGGCAGAAAGTTGATGAAAAGTTCCATTCTGATCACAGAAGTCCTTTATGACTTGGTTGACAAATTCAGTTCCTCTGTCTGATCTGATTGTCTTTACCTTCAAATTCTTCTCAGTCTGAAGTTGCTTTAACAGAGATGGCAACTTCTGAAGAGTTTCATTTTTCTTTGATAGAAAAATAGTCCATGTATATCTGGAGTAGTCATCAACCATGACTAGAGTATATTTCTTGACACCAACACTTGGAGTTTCAACAGGTCCAAATAAATCCATGTGAATCAGATTTATAGGGCTTGTAGAAAGATCTCCAGCAATGGGCTTGAAGGAATTCTTCACTTGTTTGCCTTTCTGACATGCACTGCAGAGGGTCTCCTTCTTGTACACAATGTCTGGTAGCCCTTCTACAATGTGTTCTCTGGCCAGTTTGTTGATTGTTTTGAAATTCAAATGGTTGAGCTTTTTGTGCCAGTCCCAGCTCAGTTTTGAATCTCCTTTGGCTATCAGGCAAACTCCATCTTTTGCAGTGTTCCAATCAACTACATAGATGTTCTTCTCCCTTGATGCTGTAAGAACCACTTCCTTTGTTGTCTCATGCTTCACATAGCAGAAGTCCTTTGTGAATTCAACAGTGTAGCCTTTGTCACAGAATTGGCTAGCACTCAGCAAGTTGAACTTCAGTCCTTTGACATATGAGACATCATCAATGATTATCTGGTTCGTGATCAGCTTTCCTCTTCCTTTTGTTTGACCTTCTTTGTCATTACCTCCAAAGGTAACTCTAGGTCCTTTGCATTTCTGGAACTCAGTTAGGCAATTTCTGTCACCTGTCATGTGTCTGGAGCATCCACTATCAATAAACCATTCTTGTTCAGAGATGGCTCCAGCACACAGTTCCTGCAAGATCAAAAGAAAGATTTAGGTACCCAAGCAATGTTGGGTCCTGGGGGGTCATGGAGTCTGGGTAGTTGGTACCATTTTGGTCTCATCAAGTGAAACCTTGGTGGATGGTACCCATTGTCCACCTGGTAGTTGTAGTAAACTGAAGTGTGATTCACTTTGGGCAGATGCTTGTGAGGGTCATGCTTCCTGTTTACATACTTTTGCATAGCCCTTTTTGTTGGAAAGAAGTCCCAAATACTATCAAGAGCAGAGGGACGGTTAACCTTGGGCTTCTGAAGTTGATCAGCCAACCTCTTCTGCCTGAAGTTAACTCTCTCTTGATATTTGCCCTTCTGGTGATCATTTCTGGCACGATTGACATGAGGTTGTATGTCAATGAATGGTCTTTTATTTTTGTTATCTTGAAAACTTTTTCTGTTGTTAGGTTTTCTGCCAGGTTCATTATTTTTCAAAAAGGGTTTCTATTGAACCTTTATCTTTCCCTTTTCTGGTCTGACTTCCTCATGAACAACCTTGGTGCCAGATACACCAGCTTGACAGATGGGGCTAGAAATCAGTGGCTCTATGACCTTATCTGCCTTAGCAACTCTGGTGCTAGGCATTACAGAAGGCTCACCTGATTCTGTTGAGCCATAACCAAGACCAAAACCAGTGCCAATCTGTTGATCAAGCACAATCTTTTCCATTGAAGACTGGGCCTTCTGGTAAGCTTTGTACTTAATCTCGAGAGGCTCTATTTCTCTTATTCTTTTAAGAAGAGAAACATTTTCAGTCTCCAGTTGATCTCTTTCCTTAATTAGAAGATTGATTTTGATCTCAACCTCCTTCTAAGTCAAGAATTTCAGCTTTCAACTTACTGTTTTCTTCTGTTACAGAGGAATAAGTGGCTTGTATGGCCTTAAACTCTTCCCAAAATTCTGACATTGAATCAGAATCAAAAGCTAAGCCTACCGAAGAAAAACTAGATTCAGAAGTAGAAGTTACCTCATCATCAGAATGAGCCAATAGGCAAAGGTCTTCCGTCTCAGTATCAAGGCAACAGAAGGCCTCATCAGAATCTGAGTCAGAAGTGGATTCTGTTTCTGACAGAGGGTCTTTCTCCAGCTGTTCTGTCACAAGTGCCTTTCTCCTTCTGGAGTTGTCCTCGTACTTCTTCTTTTCTCCATCCCGTCCTTGCTTCTTGGACACTCTAGGATGGGGACAATCAGCCTTGAAGTGACCAGGTTGTCTGCAATTGTAACAGAGAAGCTCTCCACTGCTTTCTGTTGATTTGACCTTCTGGTATGGCTTTCTGTTGAAAGATGGACTCCTTCCATCTTTGGGATTCTTCATAAACTTTTTGAATCTCCTGGCAAAGGCAGCCATATATTCATTAGATAAAAGTACTGAAGGGTCAAAATCATTTACCTTAGATGTGCTGGCAGTGAGGGCTGTAGTGGTCCTCTCTTCTGGTACATCTTCCTTTTCTTCAGTCATTTCAAACTCTTGAGCTTTGAGATCTGAAATGAGCTTATCAGTGGGATAAGTCTTTACATCCTTGCTGGCTTGGACAGCAACCACCTTCATCTTCCATGCTGAGGGCAGTCCCCTCAACACCTTCAGGTTGATCTCCTTGGTGGAGAGTTCCTTGCCAAGCTCAGAGATCTCTCCAGTGAGAGTGAGGAGCCTGTCATACATCTTGGAGATGCTTTCACCAGGGAGAAGTTTGAATTCATCAAACTTCTTGTTGGCTATGGTCAGTTTGTTGTCCTTCTCTTGCTCATCACCAGCTCCAATGAGCTCAAAAGTATCCCAGATTTCCTTAGCAGTCTTGCACTTCTTGATTCTGTTGAAGTACCTATCATCAATGGACTTGTAGAGGATGTCCTTGGCAATATTGTCTAGGTTGTACTTTCTCCTCTCTTCAGTGGTCCATTCTGACTTGGCTTTACTGATCATCTGGGGTCTGGTGTTGTCTATGGCATGTTCAGGATTGACCTTCTGGAAGCTTGTGAAGGGGCCAATGTCTAGAACTTCCCACATCTCATCATGTAGGGCACAAAGATGTGCTTTCATCCGGATCCTCCAGTCATCAAACTTAAGATCTGAAATGAGGTAAAACAGAAAAACAAGTGGATCTTTGTTCAGCAAATAACCTAAGAGATTATTAGAACAAGGAGGCTCTGATACCACTTGTTGGTCCCGGTTATACTGGATACAGTTTAGAGGGGGGGTGAATAGACTGTATTGGTTTTTATCTTTTTAAACTAAGTACCAGATTTACAGAATAGCCTGTTCTGTTGAAAGAACAGACTGGCAGCGGATGGGGTTCTGGTAGGGAGTTCTGTTAGCCTCAGAGAAGCAAAGGCAGTAGGCCTTCTGTTAACTCGTAGAACAAGTTCTGTTGAACACAGATACCAAGTCCAAGGAGTTAGACAGTTCTATCTAAGTGCAAGTATTAAAAGCAGTAAGTAAACGACACCAGGGATTTTTATAGTGGTTCAAGGAACAACTCGTTCCTCTAGTCCACTGTTCCACTAAGCTGTAAAAACTGCCGTTTACAAAGCCTTAGTCCTAGCACTTAAGAAGCACTCCACGTCTTCTTCAAGTCTAGATGTGTCCTGGGATGCACTGCCTGGCTTCCTTTAACACTGGTCCTTTCACTGAGTTTCCTTGAAGTATCACCACTTCACTACTCCAGTTACTTGGACGTCCTTCTTGTAGCAAGAAGAGTTTCTGTTGAAACTGGGGTTCCTCCAACTAGCTTCGTTACAAAAGATTTGTATGTGATGAGCTTGAAGAGTTGAAGAACACTTGGAACTTTGCTTGAGTTGGAAAGAGTATTCTTCCAACTTCTGCCTTCTCTTATAGAAGATAATGAGTTTGAATCTCAAGGAGGCTTTTTGCTTTTTCAGAGTTTGAATATCTTGTTTGTGGCAATGGTTAGCAAAAGTTGCAAAGTTATCTTGGCAAAGTTATCTTGGCAAAGTTATCTTGGCAAAGTTATCCGGATATTCTTCGTAGTGTATCTTTTATACTGAGGTTGTCTTCCCGTTGGAGGAGTAGGAGGACAACTGCATTAAATGAGCAATCAGTTGACTTGACTAGTAGGGCCCGGTAAAGTTGGCGGGTTAATGGGCTATTGGGATCCAACTATTGGGATCGTTTTCCAAAATTAGTCTATAATGGGCTACAGCGTACCTGATGTAGTAGTTCATTTAAATGAGAACTAAGTGTAAACTATAAATAATACTTTTTAAATAAGTGTAAACTACAAGTTCTCGTGGTCTTCTTGATCGTCTTGGTCATGGAGATGTTGTAGTTGCTGCCTACGCCTACGTCGCTGGCGTGGTTGAAGAACCACTCTCTCATGCTGAGTCTGGGATGATGAAGCTGCCGTTGCATTAGATGTCGATGACATATCCTGAGATGGGGGCATATGTATAAGATGACTGTAGTCGACTCGCCCTAACACATCTGAACACAATGAGGCGATGCCCGTCAAAGCCTGACCATACATGTCCACGTCATGTGTATCACTCACTATGGAAGTAGCCCGCTGATGTATACGCTGCAAAGCTCGTGTCTGGAATATGAAACACAATTACAATTAGTTAGAAATAAATAAAAGTGTTAAATAAAGAAAATGACTTACTTTAGTAATTAGTAATATACTTACCGTCAGATGCAAAGCCAAGGAACCAGGCTGATAATGGTGAGTAGGGAGTCTGAACGAAGGAGGCACAAACAAACGAGTGATGCTGTAATACCATCCCATGTAGTCTCCCGAAACAGATGGGACTAATGTCGGTGTCCCAATCACAACAAGCTCAGCTCACCTCTGCCACACAGTGACGTATCGGACATGTCTAAGTTCCCAATCTTCTGTATGCTTCCCACACCTATCCAACCTATGAAGGTCTACATATGTGTCGATAGGTGCTTGAATGACCTGCTCATACCCAAACTGTCGCAATACACGACCAGGCAAATGAAGCTCAACAATGTCAAAACATATCAACGTCACACGTGCTCGCCATATTTGAGAATGCTCTCATCCAGCGGGGGGTAACTCTGCAAACATCTCAGCTATATACGGCATCCATGTAATCTGTTTCATAAAGATACAAAATTAGTATTTCTGCTATACATATTATAGTTAATGTTATATTACGCACACCATACCTGATCCTCAGACATCCGATCAAACGCATCCCTGTACACACCGAGCCCAGAAGCCGATGATGTGTGACATAGATCAGCAAATAGCCATCTAACCATTCATGTATGGTTGGATAGATGACTATTTGCTACATGAATGGTTACTAAGTAATGGACAAAACAAAAAGGCGCTACTTGTTGTATGCTTCCCACGCCTATCCAACCTATGAAGGTCTACATATGTGTCGATAGGTGATGCACACTAATTAGTAGTGCATAATTACATGTTTTTATGTTTGATTTATGTTAATTGTTTGACGTTTTATTTAGTTTGTAAACATTTATGTGATTTCAGTTATAATTGTATTTTAGTCTTTATTTATAAGTTGTAAAGTATAGTTAGGATTTGTGGAGCTGGAAAGGAAGACTTTGAAGAGAAGAAAACAAGAAATTTGACTGTCCAGGAGTAAAACCCGACCGGGTAGAAACCCCCACCAGGTCGGGTATGATTTAACAGACGAAATTGCCAAGAAAGTCACTGGACCCGGTCGGGTCCCCTACTTGACCCGGTCGGGTCAGATGTGACCCGGGACAAAACGACGTGCGAAGATCACCAGAACGTGGCGGATTATCTGATTTTGACCGGACCCGGTCGGGTGAGTACTTGACCCGGTCGGGTACCCGGCCAAAGGTGTTGAAAAACACCTATAAATAGCACACTTTTTCTTCACAAAAAATCATCCCTTCTTCCATACTCTTTAGCTCAATTTAGAATAACATTTCTTTATCTTTTTTTTAGCAATGTTTAGTCTCCAAATGAGGAGCTAAACTTCCATTCTTGGTGTTGCTCTTGAAGCTTGTTGATTATTAAAGTTGTGAGTTATTTTCTTAACTTCTTTCCTTGAATATTAATTAATAGTTCTTTCCTTAATATCATCTCTATATTAATGTTGAGGAGTGTTGCTAAGATGACAATTAGTTAACATCTCGACATTAGTTAGAATGATATTTTCTTCCTCTATATTAATATTGGGGAGTGTTGCTAAGATGACAATTAGTTAACATCTTGATATTAATTATAGTAGGATTTGTTGGTCCCGGTTATACTGGATACAGTCTAGAGGGGGGTGAATAGACTGTATTGGTTTTTAGCTTTTTAAACTAAGTACCAGATTTACAGAATAGCCTGTTCTGTTGAAAGAACAGACTGGCAGCGGATGGGGTTCTGGTAGGGAGTTCTGTTAGCCTCAGAGAAGCAAAGGCAGTAGACCTTCTGTTAACTCGTAGAACAAGTTCTGCTGAACACAGATACCAAGTCCAAGGAGTTAGACAGTTCTATCTAAGTGCAAGTATTAAAAGCAGTAAGTAAACGACACCAGGGATTTTTATAGTGGTTCAAGGAACAACTCGTTCCTCTAGTCCACTGTTCCACTAAGCTGTAAAAACTGCCGTTTACAAAGCCTTAGTCCTAGCACTTAAGAAGCACTCCACGTCTTCTTCAAGTCTAGATGTGTCCTGGGATGCACTGCCTGGCTTCCTTTAACACTGGTCCTTTCACTGAGTTTCCTTGAAGTATCACCACTTCACTACTCCAGTTACTTGGACGTCCTTCTTGTAGCAAGAAGAGTTTCTGTTGAAACTGGGGTTCCTCCAACTAGCTTCGTTACAAAAGATTTGTATGTGATGAGCTTGAAGAGTTGAAGAACACTTGGAACTTTGCTTGAGTTGGAAAGAGTATTCTTCCAACTTCTGCCTTCTCTTGTAGAAGATAATGAGTTTGAATCTCAAGGAGGCTTTTTGCTTTTTCAGAGTTTGAATATCTTGTTTGTAGCAATGGTTAGCAAAAGTTGCAAAGTTATCTTGGCAAAGTTATCTTGGCAAAGTTATCTTGGCAAAGTTATCCGGATGTTCTTCGTAGTGTATCTTTTATACTGAGGTTGTCTTCCCGTTGGAGGAGTAGGAGGACAACTGCATTAAATGAGCGATCAGTTGACTTGACTAGTAGGGTCCGGTAAAGTTGGCGGGTTACTATTTTGGGATAAAGTATTCCTGACATTGCGGCCAATCATCTGCAATTACTCTACGTAGCATGGGGTGCATTAAATGAGCATTTAATGCGTGCACTGTAGCTTTTCCGTTTCATACTCCTAGCCGTTGAAGGAATCTTTTAGTTGACTTCCCGGTTCTTTGAAATTCTTCTAAGTGTCAGACCTTCTGGTGTCTTTAACTGAGAGTAGAACAGAGGAGGTCTGGAGCACTTCTGTTGGGAGAGTATCCAACAGAGACCCAGAAGGGTTTCTGTCAGAGTGAACACTAACAGAGACCCTGAGGTCTTCTGTTCTGGAGCAGAGAACCAAAGGTCCTCTGTTTCAATAAAGCCTTATGAGGGTCTTCTGCTCTGAAGCCCTTCTGCTCTTGAAGCCCTTCTGCTCTTGAAGGTCTTCTGTCAAGTCGATTACTCTAAGAACTTTACAAAGGAAAATTCTAATACATTAACTCTAAATAGGGGTACTTTAAAGTCCTAATTAATCTAGCATCATCAAAATCTAATTACAATTATTCCTTACAGGATTCATCTTCTTTAATAATATTCTTCCTTGAATATTAATTAATCCCTACTCATATTTCATATTAATATTTTGAACATTACTTAAAGGATCAACTAGTTTTGTTTCATATATTAATTATTACTAGAAACGATCAACGAACCGATGGTTAATCGTTGATGGTTTCACAAGTAAGTAACTTCGGTTTATTAATGCACGGTCGTGGTTAATAAACTTAACAGGGATTAATTTTGTTGGTTAAACCGAAACCGTTGCGTTGAGGTTATCAATCTCAATTGATTTCATCAAGGAGTTAGAAAGATTAAATGCTACTATTAAATCGGTATAAGGCGTTATTCTATATTTGATGAATAGTAAGGGTTATTAATGAACGGTTGTTGTTAATAACTACCCTCGATGAAGTGGATATACTCCCCGATTGAGTATTCGAGAGGGAATAAGTTATAGATATAACAATGATCGACTAAAATATATCAACAAGTGGAAAGTAGCAATGCCAAGTCCTTTTTATCTTTGAATTAAACACATATAGGTTGTTCATCTTAGTTTTTTAATTGAATTAAATCACTCAAAACCAAAACCCCCCTTTTAATTACTAGTTTCATAGAAAGAAAATCATTCCTTTCCCTGTGGATACGAACTCTACTACACTATACTACGTATAAGTGTTTAGTATTGAAATTATTTTGACGCACCGTGACAAAGTGCTCGTCAAATTTGGCGCCGTTGCCGGGGAAAGACAATTATTTTTCTTTTTATTTTTTCTCATAAAAATCAAAACAAAAAAAATATAAAAAAAATTAAAAAAAATCTATTTTCTGAGCTTACATGAGGATATGGATACCAACACATCATCCTTAGAGAGTCAAATTTCCGTTTTGGCTTCTCTCATAAAGGAGTTTATCTTAAGCTCAGAAACTCAAGATGCCAAGACATGCAATATTTGCATGTCTCACAGGCATATTACGGATTTTTGTCCGAAGCTCCAGGAAGAATACTTTCAACAAGGTGATGATGTTGGTTCCCAAAGGAAATATGATCTGTTCTCCGACACACATAATGTACCGAGGGGAGATCACATGTACGTGAATTTTTATTCTAGCATGTCCACTGAAGACATGGTCCGAGCCCTCCCTATCAACGTGACGAGTATGCAAAGAGCTATGTCACAATGCCCACAAGAAACAGTGTCCAACGAATCGAACTTGGAGAATCAAATAAAGCAAATGCCAAGCGTTGTGAACTACATCCGCGAGGAGAAGGAAGAAGAGGAGCCTGCAGAAAAAGCTCAACCGGAGGAGGAAGAACCTCAAAACTCAACTCCATCACCGGCCATTCTTGAGATCATGCCACAATTTCCTGAGGCTCTAAGGGAAACACAAAGGGTAGAGAAGGACAGAGACGAAATCCTCAGCGAATGCGAGGGTAATTCAAATGTACTTGTCGCGATTGCGAATAAACCGATAGAGTATCATTTGGATTTCTTTTCATTCACAAATATGCGGGAAATGACAATGGAGTTAAGTAAACATTTGATACCCCCTCTCATGCCACCAAGATCAAAACCCTTTCCATTGACCATGCTAATCGGTACAAATTTTCCCTCGCTCTCACAACATAAAGCAATGGGAATCTGGATATTTGATCCTGGAAAGATTGTCAAAATGGGTGGTCGGCGAATTGAGCTCTTCTATAAGAGTCACCGGGGTAGAAATGTGCAGAGGACGGGTCATCATGACCCAAACATGAAAGATTGAAGTAGAGAAAATAGCGTCGTGCCGCGACGTTAAATAAGGCGCTTCTTGGGAGGCAACCCATGCAAGGTATGTTTACTTGTTTTATTTTATTTTTACACATTTCAAAAAAAAAACAAAATTGGCCTGGGATCAAACCCGGTCGGGTATAAAACCCTACCCGGTCGGGTTACCTCTTAAAACACAGCACCCGGCCAACCGCCCGGGCGAGGCAGATGAAGAACAAAAAATAAATCAACCGCCCGACCGGGTAGACCCCTATACCCGGCCAGGCAACCCAGCAAAAAACTCTTGTGAAAAGTCTTACAAAAGGGGCATGTGACATCCATCACATTATCGTTACGACAATTTTACATGAAAGATACTTAGAATTAGGGGTGGGCATTTCGGTTTTCGGTTCGGTTTTCTTCGGTTTTGGTTGGTTTCGGTTTAATCGGTTTGATAGAAAATGTACCAAATAGAAACCGATTAAGTTTCGGTTTGGTACGGTTCGGTTCGGTTTGGATTTTGGTTTACCAAAGTATTAAGGTTTGGATTGAAATAAAAACAATTAACTTAAAATAATGAACCAAGAAGCGATAGTAATGAACCAAATATAATGTTAGATATAAATTTACAAACAGTAACAA